TACTCTTGCTGTAGAATACGCAGCTGCCATCTCATCTACAACATCGACTGCTCCTTTTGTCATGTTATAGAATGTAATGATTTCAGGCTTTTTAGATTCCCCAGTAGATTCATCGATTTGATCGCCGGAATGCATTGTGGATAACAGGATCACACTCTTATTTTTTTTCGGCACATAAGATACAAGTGTTGCTTCTTTCTGAAAACCGAAAATTGAAGAATATACTTCTCTTTTCTTTGCCAGAAACTCAGGTGGGATTTCTCTCTTATTTTTACGCATTGTACCTACTATCGTAATTTTCTTCTTTAGGAGATCTTGAGATAATTCATATCCCATATACCAATTATCAACTGTTAAATTTCGACCAGAGTTGTATAAGGGCCTTATTAAACGTTTGACAACTTTCTCTTGCACCATTTTCAACTTGAAATAACCCATCTGGTTGTTTACCAGCATAATTTTTCATACTCCAGGTATAAAATACCCTTGCATCTACAAGAGCAATAATAGACTAGAATAGAAGCAAATAGAGCAAATATTTTTATGCCATACTTTGCTGGCTTGTTGGGCATATATTGTTTGAAGGAACAACGACCTCTGAATGATTCCAACTTCTCATCAATGGTCACATACTCTCCTACAGTATAAGCCTTTTGGCAATTTGTGACAAAATTTCCAAAAAATTCTCTGATCGGAGCTAATTTATCAACGTCTCTTCTACTGGGACGATCTCTAATGTCATCAAAACGGAGGCATCGTAAAAGAAAGAGGAATCGGTTCACTGACATTGTTTCCCGAAATATGTCCATTCCCGTTCCGTCTGTTGCCCACAAATCTCTTACGTTCACATGGGATGATTTATAAACTCCACATAAATACAGCAATCCAATTAAAGCTTTGATTTCCAACTCATTTGTTGCTTTCGCATCCCGTTCACGAGTGAAATTTCCACGTACTGAATCAATATAAATATTTGTATTGTCGACTACATGTTTTAACATATCTTCATCGATAAGCAGTGACCAGGAATCTAAAGGTGTTGAGACGTCTTTAGAATACTTCGTATTTCCAGGGAGTTTAGTTATAATATTTTTGGCGCCAATTCTAACATTAGTCCGGAATTTATTTTTGTTCCATTTTACTCCATTTTTTCCAACATAAAACTCATTGCTACATTCCAAAGTTTCATTTTCTGTTTCTGTATCTGAATCACTAGAGATGAATCATGATTACTATTATATTCTTCGTCATCAACATCTTCATCGTCTTCACTAAATGAATCCTCATCAGAAGAAACTGTTTCAAGAAGATTTCTCAATCTTTTCATCTCTTCATCGTAAGGAATATACGGCGCCATGCTTACAACTCAAGAAAAACCTATACTAAAAGCTTGAAAACGAGAAGTGCGAAGTGACTCACTGAGAAACGCGAGTACACGCGCGGGTATGACATGCCCGAACAATGCTGTTCCTAAAAAACCGTTGCACCTGTCACCTCAGGAATTTCCCCCATTTAAGTATGTGACCTTGAACTCAGCTACACCAAGTTTCGTCCTTTTATGAAAGAATGGGTGAGAAATATACAAAAAGAAAAATGCACATGGGTATGACATACCCGGTGCGTGTGCTCGCGGGTTAAAAGCTAGCTCAAGGAAGAAGAATCGAAACTTCAAGACAGACTCAACCCAAACAAGAAGAAAAATTATTGTAATATAAGTTAAAGGTTAGCCTGGCAGAGAGAGGTCAAAAGTTAGTCAAAAACAAGTGACATATCTAAGACAATGAAACTGCTCTTCCGTAGTGTTATACTTGGAAACAAAAGCAATCTGCATAAATCAAGTAAAATTTAAATGTGGTCTTAAATTTTGTGAATATGTGCAATTCATTAGTTTACCTTACCCAATATTTAACAATATATTGGTAAACAAATACTATAGTCATCTTTCAAATACATATAATTCAAACTTCGATTCATTAATTCTGCTCAGCAGCATGCATTTCACGAAAATGCAGGAGTGCCCCTGAGTAATATTACTATGAAAATTTGCTTTTCAACACATCACCATTACTCATTATTATCTGTAAGGTGAAAGAAAGATTATTTTCTTTAGGGTTTGTCATGTGAAATAGAAAAAAGGTGAGGAAATGCAGTAATGAAATTACACAAAGGAAAAGAACAACACGCCAAGTAAAACTAAGAAAGCCAACAACATTTGCTGCAGATTTTAAGTTAGCACAATTTGCAAAATCTATAGCAAACATTTGCTACAGATTTTAATTTTCAGTGATTCAAACACTTTCTTCAGCTGCAATTAAATAAAAGACAAGTACTACAAGCAGAAGAAATTGATGCATTTTCAAGAAAATGTCACAATTTAGTCAAAAATATTAAAAAAATTACACCTTTCTTTTGGATTCATCATGTCGACAGTACATTCGCTCTCTTTAATGGCAAAAAAGATGATTTATTTGAAGTACCGTCCATTATGAATTCCAAAGATCTTAGCCAGCTTATTTCTGAAATTGAAATGTCCAGATCCCTCTGATTTCTATATATTTTAGTCATATGAAACAATTCTAGTTTCGATGCTACGATGTATCAGAAACCTTCCTCACTTTGCTTCCCACTGCATACCAGACAATGCCACTCTACTAATTCAAAGTCAACCTTTCTCTACACTTTTGTTTTATATGCACTTAATGATTGGCTCCACTAAATCAGCCCTTGATCAGGAACTGAACTATTTGAGAGCCACTTTAGTGAAAAAGGCTTCTTGTCTCAGTTATCAACCAAGCAGTTAATTTCTTTTAAGTTCTAATTTAAAAAACCGCTTTCTTTTGCTCCTAACAACAACTATGATTGCAAATCCTTTCCTTTTCTGCTGTCAGTTACAAAACAGTGCACATTTTACAGAACTCAACTCTCATTTTATCATTTTTTTCCCTGTCAATAAAATATGCTATTCTGTCCTTAAATGTCCGGTTCCTAACCTAGTTTCTTTATATAACTCCTTGTCAATAAACAAACACTGGACAAAACAAGTTTAAAGATTTCAAATCAAGGAACATGAATATTATATTTAAAAATTTATTACTATTCTAAGTTATCTAATGTAATTTTTGATTCCATTTTCAATCCTTAGATGGCACCACTTGTTTTCTCTTTTTTCGTTACTTCATTATAGTGGGTGCCATGGTTAACTACTATCATATTCTTGTAAATTCTTGAATTTATCTTCTTTATGGTACTTGCCTTTAATTTAATTTCAGCTAAGAAGGTAATAGTACTTGAATTGCTGAAATCACTTCTTTAAAAGTAAAATCGATGACAATCATCTTTAATTTTCTCAAAGTCAAGCTTTACTCTCATTTCTTTGTTTAAAGAATTCAAATATGCTTCATATTTCATATTCAGGTATCATTTGTAATGATCACAGAAATTTAACTCGCAGTAGCAGACTTTAACAATTTTGCTGGATATGCTCCAATCTAAGGTTTTTTAAACTGTGGGTCACCAAAAACTTTAGCAGTTTTTATATTTCTTTAACTATATATTATATATAATAATTTCACAATTACCAAATATTTTTACACAATGTATCTGAAAATGGATAAAGATAAGACACAATACAGACAAGGAAAAAAAAACGAAAACGCTTTGATGCATTCTTTTTATAATATAAATATTCATTTTCTTTGCTTTGCACATGACGCTGTCATTTCGTCTGTTACTTATTTAAAATTTTCACATTGTTCTACATCTTAAAATTAGAAATTAAAGTTAATGACCTCCTAAAACTACAATAGTAGATTACAGCACAAGTGAAAAAATTGACAGTTTCACTCACGTTTGTGTTGTATTTGTGCAATATTTATGGGGTTCCACAAAATTTTTATAAATATTATGGGGTCCTGGGGGTTGCGAAAAAATCTCAGTGATAAAAAGGGGTTGCGATTGAAAAACGTTTAAGAAACCCTGCTCTAATCTAATATCCTAAACAGATTTTACTTTCTCATTTAATCTATCCAGTCTTTTTTAAAAAGAAATATGCAATAGATATAACACAGTGGTAATTCCAAATTGACTTAATTTTAATTAATAGTTGAATTAGACATGCTGAAAATATAGTTATATTTGTCTCAGACATGCTGGAACTAATCATTCCCAAAAATTACAACTACTGATAAGTTGGTTCAAAATATCGTTTAATTCATTAATTTTCAGCATTTACTTTCATTGCAAATGTTAACTGAAACAAAATTAGAGTCACACACAAAGACAAAAAAAAAACTGCTGCAATAGTTCATTATATTTTATACACGAGTTTTCCTTGTATTCAGAGAAAATTTCTATAGAAATCATGTTACAGTGCAAATTATCATCCATCATCAAAAGGAAGGACAGGATGTACAAACTATCCACAAACCTTTTTTTTCTTTTTTCTTTTTTTTTGTTTTCATTATAATGACACGGAATGGTCACTTCAAGTGATCTCTAATGATACTTTATTAAGTTTTCATCACTATCTTTTACCAATTTTTTCCTTTTCTCATTTTGAGTAAGGATTGTGACAATAAACAATAGAAAATTATTACAAATGTTTCCAAAATTGTATCACTTATTAAAGGGCCCTCTTATTGATTTTATTGACTGTAAGGTATTTGACTATAAAATATTTAGTTGCTTTTTGCAGGCACATATTCAACTAGGAAACATAAAAAGTAATTCATTATATACGTATTCCAAAATTACAATTAGTGTGGAAATAAACTTATAAACACATGCTTTATTCAACTGAGGAAGGGCCTTCATTTTAGTGAAGAATTTATTTAAAAAAAAGCTTATTATCTGTAAATATATAGATTTCAAGATCCAAGTTACATGAAAGGACAAAATATTAATTCAAAGATGTATCAGAAAAATTTGAAATGGTAAAAACAAAGTCATACATTTTATGAATGACTAGCCTTTTAAAAATAAAAATACCAACATATAATTACCCAAACTTGCAGATAATCTAGCATTGTCTGTCTGAATTATATTTCTTTTCTTAGGCGGAATTTCAACTGGAGGTGTACATGGAATGTGAGATGATGAACTATCTTCCTTTGTAGCTACAGGAGAAAGAGCATTGCAATTAGGATAACCAAAATTCTCCCCAGTAGCATGCTGATAACTTGGTGGTACAACTTGGTCATCAATGAATTTCTCCATCAAACTGCCATTAGACATAACCTGATCCATACTTTGAGGGCTTCTTGTAAGATCAGATTCACTCGATCCTCCAACTGACAAAAAACATATTTTTAAGATTAGTACTTAAAAAAATGATTGCTACATATATAGCTTAAAAATAAAAAAGATTAACCTACTCTTGGTTTAAATTTAAAATAATTTTATTCAAAATGGAAAATTGAAACAATTTGCTTGACAACAGTTAAAATTATCTTGAGAAGTAAGTAAGTACACTCCAATTCATATAGCCACTATGATATAATAAAATATAAAAATGACATATACATATTAATATATGCAACAATCTGTGCTCTTTAACACATTGCATACTGCATAGAAATCACTAAGACATTCCACGTTTTTGGGCAAACTGCAAGTTCTTCAAATCATCATAATTACAAATCATAATGCACTTTAGGTGTTGTTTTTCAATAACCATTAAATTTTAAAAAATAAGCAATTCAAGTTCCTAGTACTTTTTTTAATGTATAGTACTACATAAAACATTTTGCTTCATGAAAAGGGACCAAATAAAATTTACAATCGCATCTAGAATCAGTCCTTTTTCCATGGGCGGCACGAACTCTGCAGGCTCTTGTAGGATTTTTTTCCCCCCGACTCACTGGAATAGATGTAGAGTCATGCTCCTTCACATCAACTGGCAACCTTTCGGATGGATCTCAACGAGGTGCTCTTCTTGCAAACCCCAGGAGAAAGGCTGGACATATTTATCTTTGGCTGGAGAGCCTTCATTATTGTCATTCATTATCCAGTCTCTCTGAACTGATAGCAGGAACTGGTTATACTTCATTTTTGCTTGTGGATTGAGGAACTTGTAATGAAATGAAAAGTCCTCAGTTTATAAGGTACAGCACTATTTATTTTTGTTCATATCATCATTTTCCTTAGAATGAAACATGAAAGGAATTGGATCTGCACAGCTAATGCTTTTTATGTGGACAATGTATTCCTTGATGCAGGTAAATTTTACCACTATTCTCTCCAACTTTTCTATTTGTTTTCCCTGTTGTCGAGACAAGTTTCATTTATGGTTGATATCATTTGCACAATCCACTTGTCTTTCCATGCAAGGAGAAGAATTTCTCCTTTTCTAGAAAAAATGTCACCTTTCTTCATTCTTGATGTTTTCATTTTCAAATATGGAGGTAAACCTCTACTCTTCCTAGTAGTCCCACAGACTCTAGTTTTGTTCTGTAGCAAAAATTTAGCAGTAGATGTAGCACTGTAATAATTATCCTGGTAAATATGGTACTATATGGCAAGATAGAGACCAAGGACTGAAAGAGCACTTTCCTGCAGTTTCTTTACTTCAGCAGTGTATATCTCCATATTGCAAATATAGCCAGTGTCACTCTCGCACACCATCTAAACAAGTAAACTGTATTTTACTATTTTTGCTAGTTATACATGCAAAATTTTAAAACATGGAATCAGTCCCTCATCCACAGACAACTGCTGTTTTGGTTTGCATATTATTTGAAATTTATGCAGGAAGTAATCCAACACAGATGGATCTTGAAGTCTCCCCGAGCGACTATCCATTTTGGCATTATCATTAAAATGCCAGAATGTCCATATTTGCTCAAATCCATGGCAACTCACTGTCTGTGCAAATATAGGGGTACACATCAAAGGATTCATTGACCAATAGTCTTTCAAGCTATATTTTCTTGTTTCATCCATCAGAATAATTAGGCCAAGGAATTTCTTGACGTCCTTCTGTATAACTGGATACCATTTTAGTGTTCTAGATGGTGTTTCACATTTCATCATGGTTTTATCATGATGGTTATACAGCTCTTTGCACAACATCTCAAACAATTCATCACCAAAAAAAGAGACTGGTTACAGAGGATATAGAGTCACACTGAGATGGAAATGTAGTGACCCCATCATAACCTTCAACCATTTGCAAGCATGGTGGTGTGTCAATTTTAGACCAACAATTATCAGTAGCTTCATCAGTGTCAGAATCACTTAAAAGCACCACCACCTTGCGCTTCATTACAGGTCTAACAATTTTACTGTCAGCAGAATCGTCTCCGAAATCATCAAAATAGTCATCCACATCTTCGAACTCACTAAGAATATCTGATAAATTGTCATTAAATACTTCAGAAAGTGTACCAGAGTCATTGGTTTCCTTCCTTTTACTGAGAGAAAGCATTTCTAAAAGTGCCAGGAACTTGAAGATTATTCGAATGACCAAAATGCAGCGTAACTGCAATGCTTTATGGGCTAGTACAATTATATAGTTTTTCTTAGATTGACCTGCATGGTTTCCACCAAAGAGATCCCTTCATTTGTGAAAAATGAGAAAAACCTGTGAGTGGTCTTTAAAAGATAGCGTTGAAAATAACAGAAAACTCATGAGTAGTACTTAACAGATGACATGGGAAAAATGAGAAAACTTGTAAGTGACCATTAACAGATGGGGTGCAAAACACGGAAAAACTCGTGAGTGGTATGCTTTAAGTTTTGTACAAAAACATATGATGGTACTCAAATTTTGTTTTAAATGAAAAAACACATCTAGAGGACCAATAAACTTTATAATGTTCATTAAACTTAAGTCCAATAAATTTGGATCAAACTTCTAAATGTAACAAAGAGAAAAAAAGACTTTAAAATATTTACCCTCTCATGATGTATATTTAGAGTTTCTATTTGTTACAATTACTTTCAACTGCTAGCAATTTTGCCTATTTATATATATTTAACAGATTTTTCAGCCCATGGCTCATTTTCATACATTACCCACCAGTAGTTGAGCAGTAAAGTTGTTGAATACTGGCAATTAGACCTACGTCCGGATCCTGACAAATGGGCTAGCTGTATGGCTGCCTTTGTAGTTTTCCCCATATGTAATGTGGATATGAGCCACTTTCTCTTAGAAAGTCCTCCACAAAAGCATTTCCCTAGGCAGATAATCCTAATGTGCTTTATCGTGATCAAATAAACCAAATCAATCATTTTCACACATTTTCTCTTATTAAGTTTGTTTTTATTTACAGCAGTAAGATCTTAAATTTAAAACTATTCCTAAGTAATTTTTTAAATGTTGCCCTGGTGAGTAGTGATTTATTTTCTCAATTTACAATGTATACCTAATCTAAGCTGCTTTAGCATTTGATTTTTGTTTTAAAAGTCCTAATTACATCTTATTACAATTATATATTCAAAATTTCAAATTAAGATTATAAATTGTATGACTTATTCAACCTCAATTTGCTATTTATTTCTTTTTCAGAGTTCAATTTTATGCATATTGTGATTAAAAAGAAAAAAAAAATTAATCTTACTTTTAGATACATAAATGACCTTACCTATTTCAGTAATTCTGGATTTACTGTAAATATTTCAAACCAGTTCAATAATAATGAAATTGATTACCTTGACCTTAAAATTCTCAACTTCAAGAAATTTAACACTTTGATAAAAAAAAAAAAAAAAAAAAAAAAAAAAAAAAAAAAAAAAAAAAACTTTTTAACTGTCCTACCATTTAAATCATACATTCCAATATTTATAAAAAATTAATTGCTAATCAATCAGATTCTAAGAGAGAAAAATACCTGCACTTCTATTCAAGGCACTAATCAAGCAATTCAATACCCCAAAATTATACTTATTAAATACCTTGAACGCGCTAGACTATGGACTCTTCGTCGTCCGTAGTCTAGTGCGTTCAAGGGAAATTTCTGCAGGGTGGCCGTAATGCACTTCAAGTGTTCTTCTACATTTTAAAACTTTTAAACGTTTAAAACGCTTTCTAAATGTTTACTTCTTTGAGTTTTTGTTTTTGTTTGTTCTAATACCTCCTAGAGGGCAGTACTAATCAGGCATTCTATTTCTAATTGAATTCCCCCCCCCTGGGTTTTATGAATATTTGCACCATTTTACATAAGATACAAGACAGTGAGAGATCTGCAACGTCTATTCAGCAGAAAAAGAGAAAAAAATGAGGTTGTGAATTGGAAAGGCAAGAAGGAAATACGTTTGATGAGTACAGTCCATAATAACTCTATGATTGATATTGAAACATGGAAAAGAACTGTAAAAAAACCAATAATTGTAAAAGATTACAACAACAAAACACCTGGATCAGATGTTATCAAATTAATCCTGCTGTTAGAAATAAGCCAAAGATATTATTACTTTCCCATTATGCTTTATTTCCTTATAATTTTACTTAATATTCATTTACATTCTTCCACTACGAAAGTTATGTATGTAGAGAGAAAACAACATTACAAGCTGCGAAAAACATAGGGCCGCTGGGGAGAATATATTCGTGGACAGGAGAGGATGGCGAAAGGGTTAATAATCAAATTCTTTCTAATTTTATTAACTCATTTCTCCAAAAATTGCACAATAGGTCATTTTAAGTTTTATTGTCACTTATGACAGGTAATACTTAAATCAGATTTGGAAGTATTTACTGGATGCATTACCATTGTAAATACCCATGTAAACATGTAATTAGTCCCTCTGTCTGCTAGTAACAAATAGCCATTTCTTCTATCCTAGTCCTATACATGCCAAATAGGTGGAGACCTTTTACTGTTACACCCTTTTTTCCTTTTGACAACTGTTTCTATTTCCCATTATCTATATATAAATCTTTTTAAAATTCCTTTTTTATACACACTTAAAAAACATTAATTTAAATAATTTATAAATTTTTAACTTCTTTCCCCCAAATTACAAAATTATTCTTCAAGTTTTGCTTAATTTTAATTTTTTTCCTTCATTTTTAATTTTTACCATTTTCCCAATTTTAAACAATTTTTTCATTTTAAAACTATTTCATTTCTGTAATTAAAACTCAGAATTTTATCACTTGGTTTATAATCTTCAGTATTTTCACTCTTCAGTTTTACAGGCTGCACCTTTACAAATCAACTCAGCTCTTGACTTTTATTATTTCTATTTTATCAAACTTCCCTCTTATTAAACTCGACTCCACACTTCATAATAGTATTCTCAAAAGTCTGGTGAAGAATTACCTATGTGCTTTTAAATTACTTTATTC